ATTTGTGCAGTGTCAACAAGAATGCCGTTAATTAAGTTACTTTTGTTCTAGCTAGCTATTTTTTTGTCATTCACCTAGATTAGTACATTTTTTCTTTTCATGGTAAAGATAGCTGAAAGGTCACATGTAGTATATGAAGTTAGATAATTATATTTTCCAATGGCAGTCAAGTCTTCTCTTGAGGTTATGACTTCCCTTATGTTGTTTCATTGGGAATGAAGAGCATTGGGGATATTGCTAATCACTCTGGGTAAGTCTTATGTTAACGAATTAACTAAGTAACGTGAGATTTACTCAGTCTGGAACAAGATCTCGACCAACTAATTCTTCAGTAAGGGTGACTGTCCTTTGTGATAAGTAAAATACATTTTCACTGTGTTTGTCTGAATAAAGATTTCTCACGACAGTGTCAATAAGATGATTGAAATTGTGGCTCATGATGTTCTGCGCACAATAATGAAAGAAATCCACGAAGCAGGGTATTTTTCTGTAATTTTGGATGAAACTTCTGGTATATCAATGAAAGAACAGGCGTCGGTATGTTTCCATGTTTTAAACAATGATCTTGACATAGAGGAAATATTTTTCGGCTTTTACAAAACATCAAACACTACATCACAGGCATTCTATACCTTGCTAAAAGATGTACTGCTTAGATTTGATTTTTCTCTAGAAAAATACAGATGACAGTGCTATGGTGGAGCAGCAAGTGTTGCAGGAAGTTGGCGGGAACTGCAAGAACTTGTACATGAAGACGAGCCACGAGCTGTTTACCTTCACTGTTTGACAGACACACACATTGGTGGCACAGGTTGTGGCACAAAACATAGCCACATGTCGTAACTTTCTTACTCTCATTCATGAGCTGATTTTCTTTGTCAAAATTTTTCCAAGATGTCTGGCCTGGTGTGAAGAACTTCAGCAAGCTGACAAGGAGACGTCATGGCTATTTTGTCCTACACATTAGACACTCAAAGCAGCATCGTTGCAGTCTGTTACTTCCAACTACAGAAAGATGTTAGTGTTTTTAGAAGAACTGTCGGTACAAGTGATGCTGGAGGAAAAGCAAACGGTTTCCTTTAACATTTGAAAAAGTTTGGAACAGTAAATACTACATTACAGGGGCGCAAACTGCACCACCAGAACAAACTGATGTAAGAAACGTTGAACTACAACGTAAGCCACCTTTGTGAAGGATTCACAGAATTTTGGTCAGGTACAACTGAAGCTGCAGAAGCCCTGAATTTTGGAAAACCCAGAGTTTTGAGGCCAAGAAAAGTTCCACGTCGCTTTGACGACTGAGTTTCACTATACACGTTTCAGACTCTAGAAGAACTGTACAGACAGAGATATAATAAGTCATGGATTGTGTGCCTACTTCTCTGTGCAATCGATTTGGTACTTCATTGTTTACACACGTGAGAGAAATTGAGAAATTTGTAATTGCAAAAGATAACTTTGAGATTATTTCAAACTTTTAGAAAAATGACATTTGACAAAGGGAACTGCAGTTACATCGCGATATGTTCGCCAATATTGCAAAACAGTGGATCTATTCAACTGTGCTCCTTACAGGACACTGTGGACATCTTCAGCGGCGAGGAGGGAGACCACCTGAGACAAATGTTACCAGAACCAACAAAGCTGATCAAATTAGCACTTTCTGTACCTGTCTTCTTTTGCACCTCAGAAAGGTTCTTTTCAAGCCTTCATAGGATAAAGACATACTTTTGATAAACAATGAAACAAGCAAGATTGAACCACGTTGCTATACTACATGGCAACAAACATCTTGCAAGAAATAATATAATGTGGTGGCCAACGAGTTCATCCAGCAGTCAGATCCAAGGTGCAACACCTTCCACGTAAAAGATTAAGACCACTTTGGTTTTAAACTGTAAACATTTTGAATTCTAAGCTTGGATAAAACAAATGCAAGTGAGTTTGACATTTTGCTTCATGCAGTCATAAGGGAATGGTGTATTTTCATTTGGATTTTACTTTTCTAAATGTATTTTTCCTTTCGTCTTTCTGGATAATTTATATTATGAAAGGTTGCTGTAGTTATATCTCGTAATTGTACAAAAAGTAAAAAGCTGTAGTTGTCGTTAATTCTAAGAGTGAACCACATATAGCCTAAATCCTAGACATGAAAGGAAGTTATATTATTTTGTTTTCTTCCTTTATGGGGCGTGAATTAGTAAAATAATGCTTTTTATTCTTTTTATAACTTGTCAATTTTAAATTTTGTGCTTCCATTTATTATTTTATTTTTGTTGTAATTTGCCTTACTTATATTATCCAGCTTAAACTAGCTTGAGGATACCGTTAAATACTAATATTGATGAACAGATAAAGTGCGTTGAATACCTTTAATGAAATAGGAAATTTCTATATGTCCATTCTCTGGCCCCCATGGCAAGAGTTGAAGTCAATATTGATCTGACTTAAAAGTAAGAAAAACAAAAACTTTGTTTTGAGGAACTGGTATTATTCCTAGCTCGAATAACTTTAGGCCAAGAGGTAGAATTGGTCACTGAATGGAGATGGTAGCTGCCTGGAATTATAGTCTGGAGTTAGGATGGTCCTGTTCTGGGCTCCATTGAATACTTAGGTGAGGTGCAACTTTTGAACTGTGGAACAAGTCGTTGCCAAGTTGCACTGATGATTCAACCTAGTGGAAAAAATCAAGCAATCCATCAGGCTTCATTCAAGGCTCACAAAAGGGACACCACTTACTTAGATGACCTACATTATCTACATGAGAAGACATAACCTGGAGTGTCCTCTCCATAAAAAATCTTATGGGAGAAGTGATGAGACAACATCTGGTTGTGAGAGATATTCTCATCATAACAGAAGCCGGTTTGGTCACAAAAAAGTTACAAAGCAGTAATTTTGAAGCTGTCACAGAAGAGGAAGAAGCCTATTGTTGCAATAGCTTTATCTCTAACATGCTGCCCAATCCAGGTATC